GTTCTCCGAGTCCTCCCAAGAAAACGATGATCACACTAAAGAAAAAACAGAACTTTTTTATTCCTTTGTGTGTCTGTGAAGTTTTATGGGGTTCTTTTTTGTGTGTGGTGTGTTTCAAGCTATTTTTTTAGAGGCTTGAGAAATGAATGAATGGTGGGGTTGAATTTGAATTGAATTTGCAGAGAAAATAAAGGTTTGAATGATTTGAGAATTGAGGATTGAAGATGGAGAATAAGTTGGTTGGGATTGTTAATCTGTTTTTGGTGTGTTATGTTTTTGGTTGAAAGCAGGGGAAATAGGAGAAAAGTATGATAGGAAGGATGTGAATGGACATTGGTGAAAAGGTGTTGGTAGTAGCTGTGAGTGGCAAGATGGTTATGGCGATGGTTGAATGATGACTGAGAATGGAGAAATTGATTTTAAAAAACTCAATTTCTTAATAAAACTCTTTCTTCTCTAATTAACTAACACGTAACCACGCACACAATTATATTTTCACACGTAACCACTAACTACTGCCACATCGTCATCCCATTAACTCCGTTTGATTATATTTAAACGAAAGGGACTAATTTGACTCACAAATTTACAAGAAAGGACTCATTTCAAACACTTTTCTAATTAGGGACTAAAATTGAGATTTGTCAACCAAACTAGAAACAAAATTGGATATTAAACCTAAAAAATAATAGCAATTTTCCTTAAAAGTTATTATATATAGTAGAGATATTAATTTCTATAATGATTATTTTAAAAGTGTCATGACAATATTTTATTTACTAATAATGTAAAACTATTTGGTAAATTAAATATTTAAATATTACAAATTTAGTTGATTAAAATTTATTTAAATTCTAAATACCTTACGGTATTTTTAATTAAGTCTTTGTTATTTTGATCAATGTTAAATATATTTTTTATTTCGTTAAGTATTTTTTCCTTTAATTTTTCTCTCAAGAGATGAAATAATTGTTGCTTTTGACTTTTTATTTTTAACTTCTGGATCAACCTACATATTTTCTCTCAAATTTTTATCAATTTATCAATCTAAGTCAATATTTACAAATTGAGTGATAAGAAATTAAACTAAAGAAACACATTTACAAATAAATTAGAGACGAATTTTTAAATAAAAATAATAAATATTTTAAACATATAACAACCTTTTTGATAAAAAGAAAACTACAAATACTCAAATTTATTTTTTGAACTAAAATTTAATTAAGCCATTAATTAAATGCTATGTGTCCGTGTTAAAAGCGAGCAAAACGACTACCCAACACTGCGTTCGATAAGGTAGAATAGAACACACAGCACCTGTGTCCGTTGATTTTTCCTCTTCTTGTTCTTCATCGTCGTCAAGAAACTCAGACCAAATAGCGTGTTGCAGAGATGGATTATTCGGGCTACAACTACCAGCAGCAACAGCAACAACATTCCTATGGCTACGACCCTTCTCAGATCCAAATCCAACCCTACGATCAATCCTATGCTTATCAACAATACTACGCATACAATTCCCAATACGCCTATTTTTCCAACACACATCAAGGTCAGTTTCAATTCCAATCCGAACCCGCTCCTCTTCACCCTCCCGGCGTCAATCCCACCGTTCCGGAGTCCGCCCCGGTAAATTTTTCCTTTAACCCTTCCAATTCTTAATCATGTTATGATTAAATTCATTTGTTCTGTTTAGTTTTCATGTTCTTAGCTTGCTTGTGAAATTTTTATGCGGAAAATTATGTGAATGGATCGTGACCTAATTAAAATTGTGGGTGGGTGTGATAATCTTTTCTAAAATGAAACTCAAAGCAAGTAGACATAGTTTTCAGTATCATGACCAATGTCAATGGGTACCAATTCTTCCACTTCTCCCTCTTTAAAGAGAATGTTCCACTGATTCCTTGAGTTTTCATATAGAAAAAAATAAAAAACGGTTCTTGAAGAAATTGGGAACCACAAGAAAGTTGAAGCTCCAAGCATAATACCGGGAGGTATGCCTGAATCATCCACACTTTTCTTCTGGTCTAGAACTTTACATCTTCATTGGCAACTATCAATAGAGTCCAAGCATTTGCCATAGAAGCAACAACAGCAGTACAAAAGCTCAACATCACTCTTTCAGCCAGCCACATCATTTTTCTTCATCCTCCACCATTTGATAGCACACCAATGCTCCCACGGGGTATGTTTGTGGCCTTTGCCTTGGAAAACGTTCACACTGTCTATTCAAAGGTGCCACCCAGCGTTTAGCTCCAAAGGCAAGGCCAAAATTAACATAGCTTTTGTAAAGATTATGAACTTGTAAGCAAGTAATTCGGATTGCCTCCTGAACAGATGTAGAACTATTAACCCTGAGTGACTTTTCTAACTCAACCATCAAATAGCTTCTGAGTTTCAGGGATTACCTCTAACTTAGAAAACTGTTCCAGCAGTGAAACAGCCGTCTCTACAAATTCAGCCTGTATCTCATCATCTTTAATGGTTTCTTTGTCATCTTGAAAGCTCCAACTGTTGCTGTTAGGTCTGCAATTGACTTTTTTACTATTTCCAAAGATTGCCTCACTGATTCTTGAAGATCAAAGAGCTCGTAAGAATCCATCATCACGCAGCAAAACTGATACCAATGTGATAATTTTTTTTATTCTTTATCAGTCTCACCAGCTCGCTTCTAAGCACCAAACACAGACTCTCTCCAAAACTCCCTACGGTGGCACTCAGACACATAGATATACAAGCTAATAATTGAATAATCCCCTTCAAGTTCCCGTGAAGGTCTTTATATACACCATCTAATCCTCAAACTGAAAGTTTGGGATATAACAGTTTAACAATTTCTGTTAAACAACAACCATAAAAGCCCTAAACTAACTCTGTAAAAGAGTTTATTACAGTGGACTTGGCTGTGAATAGTATGTTCATGACTTGTTTGATAGTTGGAAATGGAATGGGGTTCGTCAACCTGTGATTAGCAAGTCTTTGTGGATGTGTTTGTGATTTTTGTGTTCATTGAGGCAACAGTTGCCATGGAAACTGCAGCTACCATAGTGGTCGTGATTTTCCTGTGTTCCTTGATATTATGGGAAATTGCGAACAAATGTGGTCTTCTGGCTACAGTTTTCATTCAAAATTGCCTCCACAATTGTGTTCACATTGCTGTTGGCAAATCCTCAAAGACCTTGGACATTGCAAATGAAATTGCGGTTGCTGAGTGGTTTATTAAACCTTGGGAATGAGTAGGAGGGGTTTTTTGGTTGATTTAAACTGTATATTGGTGTTTGCCATCATAAAAGATAACGATTTGTTGAGTGTGAGGGTGGGTTATGCCCTGCAACTCTAGCTCTTAATTTTGACTCAAAAGTGGGATAGATGACCTACAAAATTCTTATGGGATAACTGTTGGTGATTAATTTACATGGTAGCATTGTTTAAGACCCATATTGACCTTCCTATATTTTGTCTGATGTAAATGGTAATGTTGGCTTCCAATTGGTCCTCTGAAAGTTTTTGTTTGAATAAACTTGTAATTTAACTTCAGTGCCTGTGTCACATGGGATAAAGTTTTTATTTTGAATGAATGCTACTATTTTCTTTATTTTGTTGCTAGTTTGTTGTCTTTCTTCTCCAGTTGCGTAGCTATCAAGCTCGATGTGGTTTATAGGTACACAAATTCGTAACACTTGAGATTAAGACAAATAAATATATTTCTAGAGGGCTTAAGAGATCTCTCTCACAATCTTATACTTATAATGAAAAATTGATAAAAGAGTACATTGAAGATTAAGGGACTACACTAGACATCTAGGTGCAGAACAAGGTACAACTATACGTACAACTCATAAATTGTTTAGCACACTACACCCTACTTAGACTAATGATGATACATAGATGTAACTATTCTAACACTCCCACTTAAGCTAGAACATACAGATTCTATGTACCAAGTTTGGAACAAATAAACTTAATCTGAGGTCTCCTTAATGACTTGGTCAACACATTTGTGAATTGGTCATCTGATCCAACAAACTCAATACATATTTCTTTTGTCAACAAATTTTCACGAACAAAATGACAATCAATTTGTATATTTTTAGTTCTCTCGTGAAACATTGGATTTGATGCAATGTGGAGAGTGGCTTGATTATCACAATACATTTTCATAGTCTGGATGTCACAGAAGTTAAGCTCTTGAAGGAATTGTTTCACCTATATAAGTTCACATGTTAGTGACACCATTTCCCTATATTCAGCTTCAGTTGTTGATCGAGCTACTACATTTTTGTTTCTTACTTTTCCATGAAATAATGTTTCCTCCAAGGAAAGCGCAATATCCGATAGTAGACTGTCTGTCAATAGGTGAACTTGTCCAATTTGTATCACAGTACCCAAAGACCTGAATGCTTCCTTTATCTTCATATAATAACCCTTGTCTGGGAGCCCTTTTGATGTACCTTAGAATGCGAACAATACGATTCCAATGGCCAACACATGGAGCCTACATGAATTGACTAACCAATCCAACCGCAAAAGACAGATTCGGCCTTGTAATAGTAAGATAAATTAGTTTTCCAACCAACCTCCTATATCTCTCTGGATTCGGAAATAATTCCCCTTCTTTTGTCGTTAATTTCTAATTTGGGTCCATAGGACTGTCTACCAATCTACAATCAGTCATGTCTGTTTCTTGTAATATATCAAAGAGCACACTTCCTTTGGGAGATTACAACTCCATCTTTTGATTGAGCTACTTAAATGCCTAAGAAGTATTTGAGGCTTCCAAGATCCTTGGTTTGAAAATGTCTACACAAGTACTCCTTTAGTTGAGATATTATAGCAGTATCATTTCTTGTAATAATTATATCATCAACATATACTATTAAGTAAACACATTTCCTGAGAGATGTATGACAGTAAAAGACCGAATGATTTGCTTCAGTGTGTTTTAGCCCAAATTTTTTAACAGTGGAGTTTAATTTTCTAAACCAAGCACATGGTGATTGGTTGAGGTCATATAGGGATCGATGCAATTTGCATACCATACCAAACTCTCCTTGAGCAACAAACCCAGGAGCTTGCTCCATATAAAACTTCTTTCTCAAGATCATCGTGGAGGAAGGCATTTTTTATATCCAATTGATGAAGTGGCCAATGACGAATTGCTGCCATTACAAAGAAGAGATGGATAGTAGTCATCTTGGCCACAGGAGAGAAAGTGTCATAATACTCAAGGTCATAAACCTGAGTGTACCCTTTTGCAACTAGTCGAGCTTTGAGCCGATCAATTTCACCATCAAAGCCGACTTTAATTACATACTCCCATCGGCAACCAATTGCCTTTTTGCCCGATGGAAGGGGCATGAGCTCCCAAGTAATATTATGGTCAAGAGCATCCATTTCTACAATCATGGCTTGTCACCATTCAGGATGATCAAGTGCTTCATTCACATTTTTGGTATAATCACAAAAGACACTGAGGATAAAAGAGAATAATAGGAAGCCAACAATCTATGATAACTAAGAAAATTATAAATAGGATGTGGGTTTTGAGTGGAACGAGTACCTTTTCTGAGAGCAATGGGCCAACTTGAATCATCTTCACCAAGAGGCGTGGTATGAAGTGGCAAGGGAGAAGAATCTAAAGTAGGGGATTCACCATTTTCTTAGAGAAGTGGACTATCCATCGGGGTCCTGTGTTGGAAGATATCAATATGTAGAAAGGAGGGTCCAGGAGGACTTTGATCAAGACTTCGACGAGAATAACCCAAGAAGACTCATTTGATAACACAAGTGGAAAGCTTGTCTAGCCCTAGAGAAATGTCATGAACAAAACATACACAGCCAAAAACTCGAGGAGAGGTGTGAAAGATATGATCATTTGGAAAGAGAATGGAGAAAGGGACATCTTATTAATAAGAAAACTCGAGGAGGGCATCTTATTAATAAGAAAACATACAGTTAAGATGACATCCCCCAGTGATGGACAAGAATATGGATACCAAGCAAAAGGGTACAAGCAGTTTCAACCAAGTGTTTATTTTTCCTCTACTATACCATTTTGGTGTGCTGTATGAGGACAAGTGGACTAATGTAATATACCATGAGAACTTAAGATTGCGGAAGAAGTGGAGGAAAAGTACTCTTTGGCATTGTCACTTCTTAAGATTTTGATTACTTGACCAATTTGATTCTTGATTTCAATCAAAAAGTATGTGAAGATGGGTAACAATTTAGAGCAATCTTTCATAAGATAAACTCAAGTACATCTTGAATACTCATCAATGAACTTAACAAAATACCTAAAACCAAAAGAGGAGACGCGACTAGGTCCTCAAATAGCAAAATGGATAATAGAAAAACTAGAATTACACATTGATTGAGACTTTTTAGGAAAGGTAGATCTAACATGTTTTCCTAGTTGACATGACTCACATTCTAAGGTCTAGAGACCCCTAAGTTCAGGAACATTTTTTTCTAATTTTGACAAATGAGGATGGTCAAGCCAATCATATAACATTTTAGGACTAGGAGCTGCAACACAGGAGACCCGTGGACGAAATCCAAAATGGTATAATCTTCCAACTTCATATTCTAACAGTAATGTCGTGAATTATAATCAATATCAAATAAGG